TGATTGATATTTATCTTCTAAAACATCTAGTCACATGGCAAAGGGAAAGACATAGCAAACCATGCACTGATTCAAAGGCTTCTATGAGAAGTAGCACAGATCACTTCCACTCACATTTCCTTAGCAAAAGCAGTTGTCATGGCCACATCTAGCTGAAGGAGGGAGAACTGGACTATTTTTTTAAATATATCTTTATTGATTTCAGAGAGGAAGGGCGAGGGAAAGAGAGATAGAAACATCAATGATGCGAGAGAATCATTTATTGGCCATCTCCTGCACGTCCCCCACTGGGGACCAAGCCCACAACCTAGGCATGTGCCCTTGACCAGAATCGAACCTGGGACCCCTCAGTCTGCAGGCTGATGCTCTATCCACTGAGCCAAACCACTCAGGGCAGAACTGGACTATTTTTCAGCAACCCTGCTACCGCAGAATGATAGATTCCATATGGAGTCGGTTTATTTTCTTATTCTTCAGTTCTACTACATTAGAAAACACTAACATACAACATCTGGTCACTGCCCAAGGAAGGCAGTTTCTGATGACTGTTATTTAGTTCTGCATTTTGGGGTCAAACGTGCATATGACAGTCATAAGTGTGGGAGTAAGTCCTCACCACAGACCTCTCTCAGCAGCACCTCACACTCCAGATCAATGAGCACATCACCTGGGAAAGCAGGGAGCCTGGATGTTTTAAAAGTTGGAAAATGATGGGAGTAAATAGATTGCTAGTTCAGTTTAGATTATTTTAGTTTCAGAAAGAACTCCTTTGTATTCTGTTGCAGAAATTGGATGTCCTCTGAAAATATGACCACTCATATACTATTGATTTTTTTTCCCCTCTGAGGCCCAAAGAATATAAAGTGTTGGGGGAAAGTTCATCTCTTGGCAATAGAGCTATTTGAACAGCAATCCAATTCTCTTAAGAAATTATTTTATCCAAAAGCAATATTTTATAACATGTACATTTCAACCCTTAAATTACCCTTATGTTTAATGTAAAAGTTTAGATCATTCAAGCTAATTAATACAGCGATGAACAAAAATTTAAGGAAGCCACTTAAAATCACAGAAATGGTTTTCACTAGGACTTTCAGTACCATCAGTTTTATTTTATTCTCACTCAGGGATATGTTCATTTATGAGAGAGAGGAAGAGAGAGAGAGGAAGAAACATTAATGTGAGAGAGAAACATTGGTTGCCTTCCACACATGCCTTAACAGGGGATCGAACCTGCAACCCAGGTATGTGCCCTGACTGGGAATTGTACCCGAAACATTTTTGGTGTAAGGGAGGATGCTCCAATCAACTGAGCACACTGGCCAGGGCAGTACCATAAAAAATTTTTATTTTATCTTTCATTCAAAAATGTGTTAACTTTCTCTTGTCAGTCAGCACCTCTTATGATGGAAAAGCAGCATTGTGTGTCAGCCCATTTATCTGTCCTGTTCTCTGATATTACCTGCACAGAATGGATGCGATTTAATTATTAATTAGGTCCTTTTGAGCTCCTTCAGCAATAAAACACAAGCAAGATAAGTATCGCCTACTATTATCAGTATTCTATGAATAACGCTGTATGTGGATTGGCATTCAACTGAAACGTATTTATTAATAGATCAATGACTTTCTTAGTTATATACACAGATGGTCGTATTTCAGTACTGATCTACACAAAACATACAGATTACAGAAAAATAGTTAAGGAGAGAAAACATCTAATCGCTTTTAATCATCCATTTTCAGGCCCAGCCAGTGTTGCTCAGTGTTTGAGCCTCGGCCCATTACCCAAGAGGTCACCGGTTTGATTCCCGGTCAGGGCACATGCCTGGATTGCAGACTCTATCCCCAGTAGGTGATGTACAGGAGGCAGCTAATCTATTTTTCTCTCTCAACGATGTTTCTATATCTCTTTCCCTTTCCCTTCCTCTCTCTAAAATCAGTAAAAACATATTTAAAAAACATTTTAATAATCCACTTTCAGTAAAAAACAAAATGAAATTTCATTTAACTATTCTTCAGCTGATCGGTTTCTCTCTCATTGATGTTTCTAACTCTCCTTTTCCCTTCCTCTCTCTAAAAATCAATAAAAATATATTTTAAAAAACATTTTAATCATACATTTTCAGTAAAAAACAAAATTTTATTAAATTATTCTTCCCTTATAAGAGCTGCACATATGCCAAGAGCTGATTAAGTGATTTAATCAAAATGTAAAACAAAATATGGGATTGCTTCAGCGTGTAACAACATCTACTGTTATGCTTGTGTAAGGCAATTAAAAATTTGGCACTTATTGCCCTACTTTCTTTTTGAATGTAATGTGGATTTTACCATCATGTTGGCAATGGCATGACCTGTACTGTTTTTGCTCTGACAAATGCAACTAAGAATAATGCCACTGTAATTTTTGTTCTCTTCTCTACCAGTCATGAAAAAAAATCATAACTTTCACAGTGGAAAGCATTAACTAGCAAATATTTCTCAAAACTAAAATATTGTAACCACAAAAATTTTAAGCATTATTTGAATAAGAAACAAAAACTTCTCATGCCAGCATAGCAGTCAATACTCAAGAGACAAAGAATGAAAGGGTTCTTGGATCAATAAAATTTAATTTTCAAATATTCACCATTGTAATTTTCAGATCATTCATCATACTTCCTACTTGCACTTTTCTTTTTTTCTTTTTAAATTTTAATTGAATTTATTGGGGTAACATTATTTAATAAAATTATATAGGTTTCAAAATACAGTTTTAAAATAAATGATAGGAAACCTTCCAAGAGTTTTGACCAGACTTGATTAGATTTTGAAAGGTCTCCGATCCCCAGCCGACGTGGCTTGATGGTTGAGTGTTGATTTAGGAACCGGGAGGTCATGAGGCCATGGTTCGATTCCCAGTCAGGGCACATGCCTGGGTTGAGGGCTCAATCCCCAGTGGGGGTGTGCAGGAGGCAGCCGATCAATGATTTTCTCTCATCATTGATGTAACCACATTGGGTAGGCTGCAGTTTAAATCTTAGTGAGAGAGGTGTATGTCTCTACCTTAGTCACCTGGATTGTTCCCACCTAGTGACTACACATAGTTAGCATTGTTGCAGTAAAATAATGTACATTGACCTGGCCAAGTGGCTTGTTGGTTGAAGCATCATCCTGTATACCAGAAGGCTGCAGAGTTAATTCCTGGTCAGGGCACATACCTAAGTTGAGGGTATGATACCTGTCAGAGCACGTAGAGGAGGCAGCCAATCGATGTCTCTCTCTCTCTCTCTCTCTCTCTCTCTCTCTCTCTCTCCCACTCTCTGTCTCTCTTCTTTCCTCTCTTAAAGTCAATGAAAACATTGAGTTAGGATTAAAAAATAAATAAATTAATTATTTAAAAAAATTTTAAATGTGAATTAGCCACAAGCAGAGTTGCAAAGAGGGAGGAGTATGACCTCTGCTATAGCAAACTCTCCAGGTAGTCATTGGGTTCAACTCCTTGGAGAAGATGATGTAAGGTAATTCATTATTAGGGACTTCTACCAAGGCATATATGCTGGATTTATGGACTCTGGGTTCTAATTAAGAAATTATCACTTAGTACATGATGGGGAAGGGGTGATAGGTTTACTGAATATTATTTCATTTAAAAAGCAATATAGCATATATCTCTCGTGAACTTTCTTGTAAACAATTAAATTCATTAATTGACAAGTCAATTCTACCACAAGTCAATACACTATTCAAATGGTCATTATAACACTTTTTTTTTCACTTTAGGAATCCTAAAACCATTAGCCAGGAGAGCAGTACAAAGATTTGTTAGAAGGGCATGTCAGCCTATTCAGAGATTTTCCATTATTGCACTAGGCCAGCAATTTTCAACTCATGTGCCACAAGAATGTTTAAAATGCAATACCTGACTATTTAGTCAGGAGCACTGACCTCTTTTCTCTTAATTGTCAAATACAAAAATGACAATAGCCAACACAATAATAGCCATCTGGTATGAATGCCCTGTCTTGCATGGTAAATTATAGGTCATATAATAAAGTTGCATCTTATTGTCACCTCTCATAATAAAGTTGTGTCTGACTGGTTAATTCTTGTTATCAGAAATTCTTATATACAAGTATAGGCACCTGATTTTTTTTAAAAAGTAACTTTGGGCCCTAGCCAGTTTGGCTCAGTGGATAGAGCGTTGGCCTGCGGACTAAAGAGTCCCAGGTTCGATTCCAGTCAAGGGCCAATGCCTGGGTTGCAGGCTCGATCCCCAGTGAGGGGCATGAAGGAGGCAGCCAATCAATGAGTCTCTCTTATCATTGATGTTTCTATCTCTCTCTCCCTCTCCTTTCCTCTCTGAAATCAATAAAAATATATTTTAAAAATAAATAAAATAAAAGTAACTTTAGAACAAAAAGAGTAGATAATTACTATTAGAATTTTTTAATAAATCCATCAAAATTATACCTATTTTTGTTAGATTGGCAAAAAATATATATTTTGGAGTGCCACAGAATTTTAGTAATTAGCTTATACTAGCATATGCCAAGAGATGTAAAAGGTTGACAATCCCTACCCTAGCAATATTTGGATAACTATCACTTTAGTCAGTAGGCAATTACTCTTTCAGATTTGCCTGTAAAGAACTTAGTTGAACGTTCTTTAAAGAAAATCTCAGCCCTCATTAATTATGATTATTTCTAACTGAATTTCCAGATGACTTCATGTGACCACTAAATAGTTTACATGTAATAGTTAACCTGCGAAGGTAGTCACTTTATTGGTACCATAAGATAAACCTTGGGTTTTATATGACCATATAAATCCTGACTGAATCTAAATAAAGACTTTAGCAGACTAAATTATATTTTACCATCTGTCCAAGGAGCTAAAAATGGGAGGCAAAGGTATAGTTCTGATCTTAATTATTTCAATTGTTTGTGTGGAAAAGATATGTTTTCCATTCAGAACACATATGGCTGAACATAGTTATTAGAATCTTAGTGTCATACCTCTCGAATAGCAGTACAGAACTCACTCTGAAGCACTTTCTTAAGGGATTGTAGCTTGTGCACTGGGACTTCTCCGGATTCCTGTAGTTTTTCCAGTAATTCAATGGCTCTGGCAACATCTGAGTTAAAAAAAAATCAAGTGAAAAGATCTAGAGTAACTATGTCTCATCAGCAAAGGATCATCATGCCAACTGAATAGTGACGTCGAAAATTAAGTGGAATTAACTGCAAAATCAGAATTTACAATTCATAGCTTATTGATCTAATCTTTTGATTAAAAAGTCGTTTAAATCTGTTCCACACAATTTGTAACTGAATACATCTTCTTTGATGTCATTTCATGTATAATATTTGTCACACAAATCAGTTTGAATATTCTTTCAGAAAAAGAGCAGGAAACATGCCTTTTATTTATTCTGACACCCGATAACCAAATGAGTCCTGTCAATTTTCTTTCTGAGATGGTTTCTCAGTTTGACTTTTCCTTAACCACACCACATTTATCACATCTGCAGTTTCACCTTTATTAGTATAACTAGAGGCCCAGTGCACAAATTCGTGCACAGGTGGGGTCCTGCCAGCCCCAGCCCCAATCAGGGATGATTGGGGCTGGGCCTGTCAGGAGGAGGAGACAGTGGGAGGGTGGCCAGCTTCCCCCCTATTGGGGCCCGATCAGGGCAGGCTGGCTTGGGGTAGGGATGGAAGGCAATTGGGTGGGGGGCTGATTGGTGGTGGAGCTGGCTGTGGGGAGGGGCTGTGGGCAGTGGGCCAGCTGGCCCTGCCCCCAAATGAGGTGGGGGGGGCAATCAGGGGTCAGCAGCCAGGGGAGGAGCCGTGGGAGGTTGGTTGGCCAGCCCCATCCCCAATTGGTGTGGGAGGGCTGATCAGGGCTGGCTGGGAGGAGGGGCCACAGGTTAATCAGGGTGGTGGGGCTGATCAGGAGTGGGGCTGGCCGTGAGGAGGGGCTGTGGGTGGTGGGCTGGTAGGCCCCACCCCTGAATGAGATGGGGAGGGCCGATCTGGGGTCAGTGACCATGGGAGGGGTCCTGGGGGGGGCCGGGGGAGGTTGGCCAGCCAGCCCCACCCAGGTTGGTGTGTGTGGGGGGGAAATCGGGAGCAGAACTGGCTGGGGGAAGGGGCCGCTGGCCAATCAGGGTGGTGGGGGCTGATCGGGAGTGGGGACAGCTGGGGGGAAGGGTGGCAGGCGGTTGGCTAGCTGGCCTTCCCCCTTCCCCAACCCCCTGCACTCCCCAATCGAGCTGGTTCACTGGCCACAGTGGGTCATAGCAACTGGTCATTCCAGTCGTTGTGGTGTTCTGGTCGCTGCCTTTTTATATACTAGTACATAGGTGATTTGATTAATGTACATCTCTTAAACTTGTCTCTAAACTTCTAGAGGGTAGGAATTTATCTGGTTTGGTCATCACTGCATCCCCAGAGTCTGGTACAATTCAGTGAATAAATATTTGATAATGAATGAATTAGTTAATGGCCTCTCTCCATTTAACTGCCATTGCATTATTCCAGGCCCTCACCATCATCTCTCTTCTGTCCAACTGGAATCATTTTTTCTCCTCCAGCCTCTTATGGTTCAGAAAGTGATCTTCCTAAAATAAAAATCTGATCATGTACCCACTACCAGCTTTTAGGACAGTACCAAGCAAAAGAGTTTTTAATAACAATTAATTTAAATGCTTCTCCTTCACTGAACAATATCATAGCTTACTGTATCAATAAACATAGCATTTTATGGCCATAGCTTTAAAATTCCCAGGTTGGTTTTGCATTGCCAAGAGAAAATGATTTGATGAAAGGCCATTTTAGTAATGCTTATCGTGATCTCTTCTACTTCTGTTGCTGTATTTAGTCAATAACTCACTGAAAGTCACTTAGGTGTTTACGTACAGAATAGAGGTTTTCTCCCCGGCTGGCTGCTAAGTGGTGAGAGCCTCAGCCCTCAGAACAAAGGGTCATGAGTTCAATTCCCAGTCAAGGGCGTGAACCTGGGTTGCAGTTTGGATCCCTGGTCTCTCTGTCTCTCTGTGCCTCTCTCTTTTTCTCTCCTTCTCCCTCCCTTCCACTCTCTCTATGGGAAAAATATCCTCAGGTGAGGATTCACTCACACACATACACACACACACACACACACACACAAACACACCACACACACACACACACACACACACACACACAAGAATAGAGGTTTTCAAATTCCCTAAATGTTTAGTTTTAGAAAGTATTCCATATCCCTTGCAAATATTTAGTTTTAGAAAGTATTCCCTATCCCTTGCCGTCAGATTATAAATTCAGCCAGCCAGCCAGCCACTAATTTATTTGTGTTCCTATTAGATGTGGTACTAAGTTTAACAAGAACAATAAGACACTTCCTTTCTGAACTCACTATCAAATGAGGAAGAATTATTACTGCATAGCTACCTAAAATAAAATCATTATCACCTCAGAATTCAGGTGGGATTTTCATAGGTGTATGTATCTAACTGCCAGAAGCCAATTCCAGCATGTTCAGCAGGGCTGAATCATCTGGAGTGGCAAGGGCATTTCCCCAAACCTGAAAAGAATGCATTAAATTGATTGTTTGCTGCCAGACAGCTCAGGGCATCTTAATCTACATGTTATTGCCTCCTACTGGCCAAACACCTGAACAGCCGTAGGCTAATTCTCCCCATTCTGACAATGGACTGTGTATACAAAACCCTACCCTTTGAAGTGTATATGGCTGCCTCACCTCAGGACAATTTGTGTTAATAAAAAGCATGGGGTTCTGAGACCAGGAGATCTTAGCTCCTTTTAGCTAGGCTCCTCTGACCCCCAAATGCCTTTCAAAATTATATTTGTCTCTGGACTCTTACTTAAGTTACACACAGCCCCTTTTCCAGATTGCTGAAAACCTTCTTAATGCTAGAACAAGAACCCCGCATCTAACCAAAGAATGTAACCAATAAGTGATTTAAATGAAGATTTTTCCCTTGACATATTGCCAAATGGATTGCCAATGGTGCCCCAAAGAAGCACAAATCATGAAATCAATGCGACACTGCCTTTTCAAAAGTTTGTCTGTTTGTACATAAGCTGAAAGTCAACATAGTCAATTGGACAATACTAGCCACATCCACAATCAATAAGGTACCAAGCTAAGAATTGTATGCATTTCTAATTGCACAAAAGTCTCTACACCTATATGTCCTCAGATATATGAAACTATCAACATGTTTAAAAATGAGCTTTTTAAAAAAAAATCCTGAAACTAGCTCTTCTCTGCCTATACTCCATATTTCCACACCCAGCCTGTCTTCCAAGTGAGGCCATGGCATCCTCTCTCACATTCACCCCCACAAGCAGTTAGTCAGTAAGTGCTATAGATTTTATCTTAAAAATGCTTTTTGAACAGAGCCCCTTTGATTCATCACTTCAGGGAAGCCTTTATTAATTTTTACCCATAGTACTAAAACATCTCCTAACTGTTCTTTAAATCAATCTTTTCTTTTTCAGTCCGTCCTCCACACTGCTTCCAGAATGATTGTTCTGGATGATAAACCTCATTATTCTACTCCCCCGTATAAAACCTTCTCTGGCTTCCCACTGCCTCCAGGATGAAGTTCAGACCACTTAGGGTTGCACACAAGACCCTTAACAACTGCCTCTTCTAACTCACCTCTAGAATCCTCCTCCTGCCCATCTCATACATTGGCCACCCAAAAGTTTCGTTATTCTGGGATATGCCACAGAATCCCATGCCTCTATGGCTCTGTACATACCAGCCCCTGTTCTTGGAATGCAATTTATTCATTCATCTAGGAGTGTTAGGAACTGTGCTGTGTGAAGGACACACAGTGGTAAAGGAGTCAGCCAATTGCTCTTGCTTTCATGGAACTTACAGATTTGAGGGGTCACAGACATGCAATAAAGAGAGTGTGTGCTATAAAAGAATTGCTGCAAGTTAGTGCATGGACATATAATAAAGACATTTATCATCATCCATGAGATCAGACCTCTTTGTGGCAGTAACAGCAGCTAAGCAGAGTTTAGGTAGGAGGTGCAGGTGGGGAAAAAGGAAAGAATGTTCCAGGAAAATAAATGCAAATTGAAGTCTTGTCAAGAGAGTGTGGGCATTCAAAGAACTGAGAGGAGTTCAGTATGGCTGAAATTGAAACCAGGGCAAGAGTAGCAAGAGATGAGGTAGAGAGAAATCATATCATGAGGGTGCTTTAGGTTGTGTTGGGAAGACTTGGCTTAAATAGCATCACCTTAGGCATGTCTTCCCTGTTTTTCCAAGGCAGATTTAGTTGCTACCATATCTGTGTTCCTACAGGTCTTTGTTCACTCACCCATTGTAATAATTCTCTCTGCAATACCTGTTTGCAAAAAAAAAAAAAAAGATACCCATGCAAATCTATAAGCCTCTTGAGGTATCAGGAACAATATTATATTTGTCATTGTATCCATAGTTTAGTGCAGATTACTTAAAAGTATTAGGTGTTTAGTACACATTTGGTGAATGAATGATAAATTAATGAGTGAGACTGGTTCAGAAAGGCAAGGATTAGAGCAGTGGTTCTCAACCTTCTGGCCCTTTAAATACAGCTCCTCATGTTGTGACCCAACCATAAAATTATTTTCGTTGCTACTTCATAACTGTAATGTTGCTACTGTTATGAATCGTAATGTAAATATCTGATATGCAGGATGGTCTTAGGCGACCCCTGTGAAAGGGTCGTTCGACCCCCAAAGGTGTCGCGACCCACAGGTTGAGAACCGCTGGATTAGAGATTTATGTGTAGTCATATAAATTCTCATGAGACCATACCTAACAGCCTTGGTCTAAACTGGCTTGGATCTAGTGTGGGGAAACGCTGAATCTGTAGGCTAAAGGGTATTGAATAAGTACACTTGGGGAAGTTCAGAAAAGTTCAAAACCTGATAGTCATCAGTTTTTAACCTTGGCTGCACACTAAAATGATCTGGAGTGCATTTAAAAATGATTAATGCCTACGACCCACCCCAAACAAACTGAAACAGAATATTCGGAACAGTGTGTTCTCACCCTGGCTGTAGATATATTGGCATCACCTGAGAAGCAATAAAAACCATAGATCCCTTG